TTCAACGCAGAGCATGATGGGACGGCGACTCGTAACAGATGCAGCTGAGCGAAGGTGCAATGACGAAAGGAGTGTCTTGCAGCATCCCAAGGTGATACGGATTCTTACACATTAGCTCAATAAATCTTTATAAGATGTTTGTGATTGTCAGTGCAGCGCTTCTGAGCATCTCACTTCATACTTGTCTAGATTCTTGTTTTACCCCCCCCCTTTCCCGCCAAACCGAGTGAGTCTTTCTCTTGCTATAGCCGGTGGCCCTTCTCGCGGAACCCTTGGGCTCAGTTTCTAGGCTCCTCCCGTTATCTGCCTTGAAAAGGAAGTATTATGAGACAGTCGATCATGTCATGTTGCCAATGAATTTCCAATAACAGCAGATTCAGACGCTAGTATTCCGGTGTTACCTGCGGAAACTTGCAATCACTTTTTATGACAAATTCCGGCATCCGGATTAATACTTTTTTCCTCTTCTTTTTCGAACCGAACTCGATGTTGGTCTCAACACTTGGGAATAGAACGATATTCTCTGCATGTCTTGATTTCCCAGTACCAGGGGCGTTTGGTACAGCCTATGCGAAGACCGAACACCCAGTCATCCCAGAGAGTATGAATTCATGATGGCAAGGACTCATGCAAAGTCTTGAGAACCGCCCGAAGATAACGACCGGTTTAATTATTGTTATTGTTTACTAAAGCCTCATTTGAGAGCGCAGATTATGCCAGAGTGCTGACGATAGACACAGGGCCTACATATGGCTGACTTATGAATAGCAAGGGTCTTCATTGCTTGCCGTCAGGATTTGACCAAGCATGCCAGCGTCGTGCCGTCAAAAAAATCCTCATTAGCAGATGATACCAGAAACGCATAGAAGGCTTTTAGTTTGGCTTTTCTCTGAGGCTATGAGGCTGTACAACACATTTTCGAGTACATACGACCATACCTACTGGAGAACTCGGGATCCCGTCCGCTCTCCCATAGATAAGCCAGTAAGGGTCGGACTAGTAGTTGGGTGGGTGACCACCAGCGAATCCCTGATGTTGTAGGTTTTTGATTTTTTTTTTTGCGATTCTATTCTGGTGTTGTGGTCATGACCGATTCGCATTTTCTTTTTATCAAAGGGCGGCGCTGGGCCGCATTTCTGGCCGCATAATGTTGCTGTGTGGTGGTTGGTTGACTGCGATATTCTCCGGCGTTCCTCCCTGTTTCCATCGACCAGTCAATCTTGGTCGGTCTTTACAATTGTCTGTTTGAAGCAAGCAAAATTAATGTAGCCACATATAAAAGGCATGTATACGCCTGCAGACAGCAACAAACAGCTCTGGATGTGGTTTTAAAAGCTTGCGTGCCTTATCGTAGCAATTCGAGATCTCGATCTTTGGAAATAGGGGTAGAGGTACAAAGTGATGCCCGGAATCATCTGCCTTTCTTCGGGTGACAAATGGATAAACGAGAGTACGGGAAAGATTGTGTAAATCGCAATAAAGCGAAGAAAGTCATCCTCCGTCCCATGACATGCAGCCAAAATATTCTGAAGCTACATAGTTGCCATGGCTGTCACTCCCCAGTTGCTTCTCTTGCTATGCTGTGACACTCTCATCGGCCACATCAATGGCTCGAGGGAGTGACTCTGGATAACAAGACATTGCCGCATCTCAGCTCGGTTAAGGTGCATACACCTTTAACCACCCGATGACTAGGCCATGCGTCATGAACCCGTCAGACAATACACCTTCACAAGCACCAAGGACGCACGACTGACCCGCTTGACGTCGAAATGTACATTGGATTCCCATACACTATTTTACAGATACATCCGTCCTATCAAGCCTCCTCCTGCATCAGGCCGCAATCCCGAGCCACAAACCAAAAGGCCTGCTTATAATAGCGCCCATCGGGGTCCGCAGAGAGCGGCCGCGCTTGCTTCCTGACCGTGGTCACGAGCTTCTGGGCCTCTTCCCACTCGCGCGCCGCCGTTAGCGAGCGCAGGATGGGCTCGAGGACCGACAGCGAGGGCCAGATGCCCCAGTCGTCCATGTCGTAGAATATTTCGAGGGCGGCGCGAACTTCGCCGGCGGCGTGGAAGTGGCGCATGACCGTCTCCCAGAAGATGCGGGTCCGTCAGGACGCGCGTGCCCAAACGGGGGTTCTGTAATGAGGGCCGCGGATGGGCGTCCCCAGTCGCCGGGGCCGGCGGGAGAAGTAGTACTCGAAGAGGATGGTACAAATCTGCGGCGATGGCTGCAGGCCCGAGGCACGGAGATGCGACAAAACGGCTTCGATGGGGACCTTGGCGCCGTCGCCAGAACGGACAAGAAGGTGTAGCATCTTGGCGTACGTCTGCTGGTTCGGTTCGAGACCGCAAGTGGCCATCTCGGCGAAGACGCGTCGAACAGTGACGCGCTGGGCATCAGGATCCTGCATAGACATCTCTGCGAGCGCGGTCTCGAGAATGATTGTAAAGGTAGCGCTGTCCGGGTTGATGCCCGAGTTCTTCATGCTCGAGAGAATGTTGTCAGCCTCCTCCATGCGACCCTTCTTGAGCATGTAGCCGAGAAGCTTGTTGTAGGTGAATATGTCGGGCTCAATCCTCTGACTATTGGCCCAGGCGAGAACGTCCTGGACAGAGCTCATACGGTCATTTCGAAGGAAACCTGAGATGGCAGCATTGACGCTGCTAATGTCTGGCTTCACAGCCTTGTGTTGAGTACCGTTGGCCACCGCCTCCTCCCAGATAGCTTGCATCTCTGTCAACACCTTCATGCCAGCGTTGGGATTGCCCAGAGCGCCGTTAGCAGAGATCCTGCTCGACCAAATGTGGTGATCGAGCTCCATGCCAGACTCAACGACCTGGTTCCACAATAGTTGGACTGATCGAAGCCTCTTGGCAATCTTCCAACCTTCCATCATAGAGGTATATGTCCTGATGGTCGGCACTAAACCAATGGTGTTCATGTACTCCATTGTCTGGTTCGTAAATGACTCCCAAAACTTGTCTCCACCGGACCCGTGTTTGCTGCAGCACTGGTTGAGCACGTAGTCGAATAACTCGGGGCACTGCCTCAGTTTGTCGGCCCTGTCAGTATCGTTGACAGGATTTGTTAGTTCCTCCCATGCCTCTCGCAATCCGTTGGCATCGTTGAGTTTGAAAAGTGTACTTAAGCGCTTGTGCCAGGCCGAATACGAGATGCGTTTGGTTGGAACCTTGACGTTGGCATGCGCCGTCTTGGTCGGCGAGTGAAACTCAATTGGCTGCTTTGGTTTGCTCTGAATGCGCGCTTGCAATGGCGCCCAGTCAATGCGTGGTGCGACGTAGTCCCATAACGCCGGGTCCGCCGTGAAATGCGACTCGAGCTTGGCCGCGTCGAAAGGCTGGACAAAAACTTTCAATTCCTTCTTCACCGCCTCAAGAGCCTCTGTAGACGTGGCGGATTGCACCCTGGGGTCCGACAGTAGGACAAAAGTGGTGGCGAGAACCACCACCAGCTTTTTGGGATCTAGAGAGACGAGCAACGGGAACTCGACGTGGCAATTGTAGAGCGGGTCGCTTATGTTCCGTGGGTTTCGTGGTGTTGGGCGTCGTGTGTCAAGGCCGCGAGCCTTATAGGCATGCCTCGAAAGAGACAGTCCCTTCCAGCACCCTAGCAAGTCTTCTAAGAGGTGCTGGTCGAAAACAGCAGAGTCAACCGAAGGGCTGCCAGCCGCGTTGACCTCGGCTGGTGTTTTGGCGATGAGCCAGTTCAAAAGCCCGAGGAAGGGATCCAGGCGTCCCGGTGTCTTCATTCCAACCTCTGCCAACGTGCCACAAAGTTCTGAGGCCCTGGGCAGGGTTGGATCGTCGCATGCGTTGACCTTGACGTCGAGGACCGCCCGTAACGCCTCGGTCGCCTTGCTGTAGGCAAACTGCGGCAAAAGGCCGCTGTCGGATTGGCGCAGTAGGGGAAGAATATCATCAATAACACATGCATAAAGTGCTGCAGCATAGGGTTCTTCCGGATTCTCCCTCGCGTTGTGCAGGATGGCGTCGATGTTCCGCGCTATCTGGTGAAGCTTCTGTGTGTCTGCTTCTGCCTGGGACTCGGATCGTCGGGCGCTGTTGATCGTGCTCTCGAACAGATCGAGAGCTCGCCTCTTTGCATTGCCGTCATTTGAGCCTCGAGGTATGCGTTCGGATGTGGCAGAGCTTGGTTTATGCGTCGGAACGTGTTTGTGTCGTTTTGTCGCATCGTGGTTTGATCGGGTGGTTTCTGTCGAGTGAAGGAACGTTGAAGCTGCAGGAACCGTCGACTGGTGGCGGACGGAGGCGCCCTTTGCTACCGTCTCGGCGAGGAGCCTCGATCGGCAGGTTGTGCATATCGTCCTCGCGGCAAACATCGCATCTTGTGGCGTAGAGCAGACAACACGACGAGTTGGAGGATTTTGCTGGGTTTCGATCGTCAAATCGCACCTGTAGAATTGACATTGATTGAAGCTGCCAGACTGGGATCCATCTTACCGTCAGCCGTCACCAGCTGGCACGCAAAACACAGGGTGCAAAGGGCATCTCGTTGGTCACAAGCACGACGAGATTATGAACGCTCAGGTTGGTCGTGCATCAGGTTGCGGTCTATTGCTTATCACGCGTTCTTCTGTTTCATTTTCTTTTCTTTTCACATAGGGGCATCATTTTAACCTCAGATGCGGGATTCACGCCTGATCTCATCTAAGCATTTGCAACAATGGACAAATGAGCAGAGGCCTTACTTCTTCAAAGCTGCCGGCTCCTCGAACTCTCCATCGAGCTCTCGAATCTTGTCCGTCGAGCGCTTGTAACCAGGCTCCTGCTTGAGGCGCTGGATGTACTCAAAGACCTTGGGGTGCGCCGCCTTGGCCGAGCCACCGGGCCACTCGCCCATGGCATCAAAGCGATGCTCACCCGCGATGAGGGCAAAGCTAAGGAGGATGTCGGCCGCGGATAGCGTCTTACCGCAGATATAGCTGCCTCCATCAGGCACCGTCTCAAGCAGCTGCTCAATCATGGCAAGGTGTTTCTTGGCGTTGGGGAAGACAGCCATGGCGATGACCTTGTTGGCGGCGGCCGTCGTGATGGGACGGACATAGAAGGGCACATTTGGGGATTTGAGCGCTGCAGCACGTCAGTCACACTGGGTATGCTTGTTCACTCTTCCGAATGAGCCTCACATGAGATGATCAGCGTCATGACGAGTATGGGCATCAGGCTGCCCTCGACATAGTGCAGCAGATACTGGTACCGCATCCAGGCCTCCGTTTCACCAGCGATCTGGTTCTCCCTGCCTTCCTTCCACTTCTGCGGGATGAGGCGCTGGCCCTCAGGGAAGTGGTCGCAGAGATACTGCGTGATGAAGCCGCTCTCTGCCAGCTTGATCGAGTCCGTGGAGCCAGGCGGGGTGATCTCGATGACAGGCGACTTGCCGAGTGGGTGGACCTTGCTCAGCTCAGGCGGTGCCAGCATTGTCTCCTTGCTACGGTGGAACAGCTCGACATCGTACTTGACATTGAGTTCCTCGAGGAGCCATAGAATGTTTTGCGCGCGGGACTTGTTCAGCCTGGAAACATGTTAGATCAGAAGCACATCAAGTGGTGGCGAACAGCGTACCAGTAAAGCTTTACATGGGCATCCTGTGCTTCAGCCATAACGTCTGTGTTTGCTCTGGTCGTTTGCGTTTGAAGAAAGCTGATATTGTGTGTCAATTAGAAAACATGTACGAAGGAGACTGTGAACGCAGTCTTCCTTGAACAAGATGAGGTCACCCCTTCTGAAATGGCATCGCCTCCTAGCCCCGGCGCGCAATCTATCCGGGCAAGGTTGGAGCTTCATCGGCACTTAAGCCTTCATTCAGCCCCACCCTTTGACATGTGCCTCGGCGCGAATGGTGATCGACAACTCGAGAGGTTGCTGAGGGTTCGCAACTCAGCTTCAACACGATGCATCGTGAAACATTCGTGCCTCGTGACTTATAACGTGGCTAAAATTGCCTGCAAGCTTGGACTTGCTGTCACCGTCCTCACGTTGGCATATGTGAAGCCGTCATCAATACCGGGTTTATTTGGAGATTCTGTGAGGACAGATGAGCGCAAGATAACTCCGTACTGTACGGGTAGCCACTGTTGACTGCTGAAAAACGCTTTAATCCGTGGATTCCAGTGGGACAAGTGAGCGGCTCCTCCGCTGTAGCAGGCCAAATACCGTGCTAAGAAAACGGTACACTTATTTGGCCTCGTTTCCCAGGCCTCAACCTTACGTAAGGAGCCTATCCTAACATCAGTCCAATGCATCAAGCATTCGAGACTGCTTCAATCCGACGACGAGATCGTGATTGAACCCCCCGCTGCACCGTCGAACGACACCCAAACCACCAATCTACCTCCTCCGAGCGCGGCTCCCTCGTCGACACAATGGCAGGCGGCGTACCCCACAACAGTGAGCGACAAGACGAGACCTACTCCATCGACGAAGGCTAACATTATTTCCTCTAGAAATGGCGATGGACCCGGCCATCATCAAGCTTGGGAGTACGTTCGAAAGCGATCGAGAATAATGTCGAGACAGAGAAGAACTAACGCCAATTGACAGACATGCAGTCGCAGCGTCACCTCTACTTCCGCTGGACCAAGAGGACGGCGCGCGTCACCTTCATGTACGCCGTTGTCGTGCCCGTCATCATTGGATTCATCGGTTACAAGACGGACGTAAGTGCTCGCCATGCTGGCAATTGATGCACTCGGAGATTGACTGTGTGACTAGGGACTCTGGGAGATGCGCCGCGAAGCGCAAGGGCGACCTCCTCGCTGAGCGGTAGAGAACGAACAGAGCGATGGGAATGGTTGTAAATATCAGAGGGATAAACAGAGCGGCAATCCAGTGCGGTGCCATGACACAACAATTTTCTTGTTACAATCCACTCTCCCACAAAGGTGCACGCTGCTTTGCTGTGACGTGCAAAATCGATCCCGTTATCGCCCATGCGGGCCAATGTGAAAATGGTAAATGGGGTATCGCGCGCCGTCCTCCGACCCAAACGCCAATTGAGAGACTTGTTGCCCGTCCGCATGTTCCTCCAAAGCAGCCTCAGCGGCCGCCCCTGCCTGCATGCCTCCCCCTGCCCCAGGCGCCGCGGTCAGGTCCGTCTGGCAGGGCCTCACCGCGTCTCCATTCGCCGTGAGGGACGCCGTGAGGGAACCCGCCCGCCCCCCAATCTCTCCCCCGCCCCGACCCCAGGTCACGTCGTCCGTGATGCGTCGGAGGACCGCCCGAGGGTCCTGCGCGAATATGACGGGTCGGCTCCGGCGCCACGGCACCATCTGGTAGCGGCGGCAGAATAGCGCACGAGACATAATCGCCGACGACGAATTTTGAGCCCTCCAGCGTCCGCAAGCCCTCCCTGATCCCGCCTCGCTGCCGCACAGGCGAGACCCTGTCTGCCATGTCCGTATCATCGTCTGCAGCAGCCATGTCCAAGCCCGGCCCGCCATCGCCGATGACGACGCTGCCGAGGTCCTTCACCATGAAGCGTGGAGCGGTGTGGCTGGCGTTGTCCATGCTGCGCGCGTCGGGGAAGATCAGGCGAAAGGCGAGTCGTGTTCCGACCGCCGGGTCTGGGAGAAGGGTGGGGCGTTCGGCGGCAAGTTGATGCGCGAGCTCGTCGAGGGTGCAACTGGGCCAGGTGTAGAGATCGAGAGAGGGCGGGAGGGCGCGAGCGGCGAACTCGTCTGGCCTGGAGAATCGGTCAGTGGCAATTCGCTGTCGAATCGTTGTGGAGGGGCTTGCCTGTGGAAGGTGCCATGTCTGCAGAAGACGCGCAGCAGAAACGGTGCCATGTCCTCGCGGTCGGCTTGGTGCGACGCCATGGCTTGGGAAGCCCTGCTGTGCCGAGGGGCCTAGCGTGCGGGGTTTCTGTGGGCTTGGTCGATTGCGAGAAACTCGCAAGGCATGCAGTTTCGGATATCCAAGACTCTGAGACCCTTCATGCACGACCTTTGAGTCCAGAGGCGCAGTGGGAAGCTTGGGTGAGCGTTGTCATGAACATGGGATCGCGGCTTCATTGCCAGTCGGATATGTAGCGTAGTTCGGTTAGATGAATGACGTCGTGGAAAATATGCAGCTATCCGTGTATTTCATTCCGACCTGCAGTTTGGCTTCAGGAACTGAGGAACCCTTCCAGAAACACCGCCAAGACTTTTCCCACGTTGCCAATCGTCACTTGAGCCTCGCCTCGGTCTCGCACTGTCAAGAAGATCAAACGGACGTCAAAGATGGTGATCAGCCGCAGGCCTTGTTCCCCCCATCTTCTTTGCACTGCCTCCTCCGCGTGCCAAGACTTGAGGCCCCACGCCTTCCCGCTGCCTGCATATCAGCTGCATCGTGCCATTTTATCCGAATTAACCCCGCCACCCTGGTGCAAGTTTCCGACGAGCCAAGCCACGATATCGCAACCTCCAACGAACGTCACTCGTATACACGCCCCCTCTTGTTGCGCGACACCAAGACCTCCCTCCCACGAGCCCCCGTGCCGAACTACGCACGACGCGGAAACGACCCGATACGAATAGCAAGAGACACATCCGGCGATAAACTGTCGCCTGGAGGACCGATCATGGACTTCGCAGCCCTCATGTCCAAGGAGCTGGCCAAGGGCAAGGCCTCGACCGAATCGTCGTCGACCTCGAAATACGTCCGGCGCGCCGACGCCGAGCGCGCACGAAAGGAGGCCTACGAGGCAGAACAGGCACGCCTCGAGGCAGAACGCGAGGCAAGGCCAGCGCCAAGCGCAAGCGTGACGACGAGGCGCCGTCGAGGCGGCGCACGCGAGGAGAAGGCCGCGGTTGGCGAAGGAGAGCCGGGCGCGGCGGCAGGAAGCAGGAGGCCAAGGAGGAGGCGGCGCGCGCGCAAGGCTTGGCCCTGCCGCCGTTCGTCAAAGGCTTCGTCGAAGGACGCCCTGGAACCTGGAAGGAGGGCGCGGAGAACGTGCCCGGAAGTGGA